TAATAATAATAACAATAATAATAATAATTATTATTATTATTATTATTATTATCCCTCTGAAACATTGGAACGGATTAGTTTTAAACCAGACATTAGTTATAAGTCAAATTAAAATAAATGCATGTTGACCCTAATTTTTTTTTTATTCATTTGTACAAAGCAGGCAATGGACATTCTTAATGGAAATATTAATTCTACAGTGTGATCCACTGATTTTTTTAATCATTACCTTTGAGCAAGTGCCCCACTAATGCAAAGTTGAAGTTGGAGGCAAAGTTGAGTCCCACAAAATGGTCCATTTGTTTACAATGCCATTCCAGAGGCTTCCGGATCTCCATGAAGACCTCCTCAGGACTCTATAAAGGGGTGGAAATGTTTTTATGACGATAACTGCTTAGAGCAGGGGTCACCAAGCTCGGTCCTGGAGGGCTGCTGTCCTGCAGAGTTTAGATCCAACTTTCCTCAACACACCTGCCTGGAAGTTTCAAGTATACCTAGCAAGACCTTGATTAGCTGATTCAGGTGTGTTTCATTAGGGTTGGAGCTAAACTCTGCAGGACACCGGCCCTCCAGGACTGAGTCTGGTGACCCCTGGCTTAGAGTTTTACATTCTACCACCTTGATATTTTATCTATCACTAATAATAATATCAAGAGTATCAAAGTTTTGAGTCTGTGGCACTCTAAAGCGGTACTAAACTGCAGTGGAAACGCAAACCGAGCCGAGCCGAGTCGTACCACGCAGTGGAAAAGCGCCATAAATGTGGATTTCAGTCGGGCACCTTATCATTAAACACCCGGAGGCTGTCCAGTGTGTGCAGGTTCTGCTCCAGTAAGGCGGTTCCGGCAGAATACAGATTCACTTCATCCAACTGAAGTACAGCCACAGCCACCCAGAACAGAGCTTTATGCATGGGAGAGTCCTGCAGATCATTAGACACGTACACACAAAACTATTAATACGTCAAGTGTGTCATTTCTGCACCACCAAACTGAATTGCAAAGATATTTTCAAACTAGTTTCCCTAAACACTCATACATGTATACACAGAGAGAAGCAAATGAAAAAATTCTACTGTCGTGTTACATCAGAGGTAATAACTGCTGATGTTTTCATAATTGAATCCAGCATACAACATGACTGCACCTGATCGAGGAGAGGCTGTAGTTTTGTGAGAGCGATGACGGTGGCCTCAATGAGAACCTGGCTGTTGTAATTATCCGGCCCCTTTAAGCAGCTCTCCAGCCCCTGTGCAAGAACAGCATTAATCAGACAGAGCGGCGGAGCATGACGCCAGCAAACAGTCGGAGCGAATGACACTACAGCAGTTAGACTAGCACTGCACTGCATTCTGAATCACAAACACTCTTCATACAACCCAAATATTCACCATTTCCAGATAAAATAGTCACAAGAGGAAATTCAACAACAGTAAATGACAACAGAGAAATGTCATTAGTCCAACCAGTTTGACATGTTGTGACAAACCATGGCTAATTACATCTATTCATTTAGTCTTATGTAACTTTCCCAGTAACTGATAATAAATGCATTTCTCTAAACTTTGCTCAATACTGTATACATTTCCACCGTAATCAAAATAGATTTGAAGTTGTCCAAACTGAATGTTTTTATAAAAATAAAAATCCAAATTTATTGACTACATAATACACTACCATTTAAAAGTTGGGGTTGTTCTTTTTTTTTTAAGTTTCTGAAACAAGTTTCACCAAGGTTGCATGTAGTTGATCAAAAATACAACAAAACAGTAATATTGTGAAATACTATTTAACACTAACAAATATTATTTAAAGATTACTGTTTTTAATTGCAATTTATTTTAAAATGTAACTCAATGTGACATAATTTATTAAATATAAATAAATATACATAAATTGCATGCTAATTTTCATAGGTGGCATTTTAAACATTGATTAATAATATTTTAATGTGTGCGGACATACCCCCAATGGGCAATATGGGCAATAGTTCATTAAAAATTCTACCTCAATTAATTTAAATAAGAATTCTGCATCCTGACAACCTCAAATCAAATAAAAAAATTAAATTGTCTTATTCTTATTCCGTTCTAAATGGTGCACAGCTATGGTGTTCAATGAATTTTATCAAAAAGTAAACATCAGAGAAGACCACATTATATAAATGCACCAAAAACAAACGATTCGAGCCAATTACAATCAAATCTAAAATGAGGTAGTTTGAGAGAGAAAAACAGACAGAGCTAACCCGATCAATGCTGAGCAGAGGACTGGCTTTACTGAGAATACGAATGATCTGTTTGAGCTGTCCATGAGTCACACGTTTACTGATGCAGCCAAACACCACAAGCGCCCGTGGCTGAAGAGATGGGTTATATTGGAATGCAAACCTATCCAAGAAAAGAAAATACAATTAGCCATTTAAATGTGATTGTACTGTGATTTTCAGTTGTAACTGCTTCACAAAAACTCTTGTGAAATGTAGTTTTCAACACACTTTTGTGCCAATTCGGTCCACTGATCCAACCATTTGCATCCAGGAATGTCCCTCATACAGGCCTAGGGAAAAACAATAATTGGTTAAATAACATATACATAAAAAGTAGTTATGGAACTCATAAATTCTTTAAAAAGATTTTTAAAGCACAGTGCTGGAGATACATAAAAAGATGACAAATACTTTAAAATGACAGCAGCAGTAACTAACCTCCATAATCTCCAAAAGAGCCTCTGTAACTGTTTCCAGGGAAGAAAGAGCAAAGGTCTCTCTCTCATAGGAGCCAGGGGAGAACGAGCGGTCTCTGTAGCTGGAGCGGAAGGCGATGACCGCCGCAGATTTGACCTTACTGATGCCGAACAGCAGGTAGAACTTGGGCAGGGAGAACTCAGTCAGACTCAGACGCAGCACCTGTTTAGTCTCCTCTGCAAAGGCAAAAACCAGAACAGCAAAAAAAATCAGACAGATCATCTAACGTTAAAACAACCTAATGTCTAGCAAGCAATAAATCAGAACTACTGCATAACAATTTAAGGAGTACATTGCCATGTAGCACATACATGCAAGGCATATTTATTCAAAATCAAAATGTTGGCACAAAAATACCCCTTTTTACATTAAGTCTGTCAAATTGCAAAAAAAACAAAAACAAAAAGATTCAGTATCATTACTCTATTCAAAGTTTTTTAAAGTAATTTTTTAAAATTATTTTATTCTATTTAAGTTACCAAAAACATTTTAAGTAGTACAGATTTTATGTAGATATTATGCACAATAAATGTTTTTCATTTATTTTATTTATTTATTTTTTGTCTTTATTCAGGTTTTAAACGGTTAAAAATTCAGGTATAACTTAGGTGTAACTTTGATATCATGTAATTGAATTATATTTGGCATAAGCAGTACTTAAGCATGAGTTTAAAAAAAAAAATGAACTGAGACTGTGATCATTCCTTATACACTTGTTAAACCATTTCTAAATTCTTATTTTTATATGGAGATAATATTACAAAAGCAATATTATGAATAGAGGAAACGGTTTGACGTTAAAAATATCTTGATGAATTTGTTACAAACAAGCAGCTTTTCCCTTCACACAACATAAATTAGGGACTGGAGTCATGTGGATTACTTATGGATGTTATGGACTTATGGATGTTTTTATCAGCTGTTTGGACTCTCATTCCGACGCCACCCATTCACTGGCCTATGGTGAGCAAGTGATGTAATGCTACATAAACAGAATGATCTGTTCTGAGGAAGAAACAAACTCATCTACATCTTGGATGACCAAATGTTACTTTTTTGGTCAACTATTCCTTTAAAACCCTCACTTTCTGTGAGTTATTTCTCACCGCTGAAGTTGAGCTGTGAGCAGGTGCAGAGCGAGTGTATGATGTTGATAACGAGGCCATGCGTTGATGCTCGGAGTGACAGCGGGCCGGTGGCCACCAGCAGAGTGACGACATGGAACATGTAGGGCAGATGAGCGGCCACGTCCAGAGAGTTGTTGAAGGAGAGCATGAGCATGTAACGGGCCAGGATGGCGATGTCGTCCCACATCAGGTGCTGCTCAAGGGTGGGGGTGGGGGACAGGCACGTCTTATCAATGATCTTACACATCCGGCCAATCACCTGAGAGAAATGAATAAAGAAATTTGTAGTTACATTACAAATATGGGCTTTATTTTACTTTAATTAGTCCCTGATGAAAACGAAAGAGTCTGGGTGCTAAATTGAACAATATCACTAAGGCAGTTTAACAATCTGAAGCTTTCAAAATTATCAAAACAATGACTGGACTCTACAAAAAGCATAATTTATCATTTCAAACTAACCACAAATTAGAAACTACTACTAGAACAAATATAGACAGTGTCCCTTTTATTTTCACTCTGTGACATGCACCTAAACATCATTTGCTCTCTCAATAAGATTATACTTGGTCCCTCATTTAACCTCAGAGTCCAGCTGCTATACGAGTCTTAGAAAGGCAGACGCAACAACTGCACAAAGCCTGTCCTTGTGCTGCCCGCTGTGACATCAGCAGTGGCTGGCACAAGTTAACCAAACAATATTTAGCTTTTCAGCATAGCTGAGCATTTGGGAAAACAACGAAGTATCTTCAACTACTGAAAAATATCTAGTATATATCTAGTTATGTTAACTGCGTCAATCAAGAATCATAAAGACCGAGGTGCTTAAGTTATCCAATTCGCAAATGTGGCTCTCCCTCTGCCCAAGTGTCTGACAATGACGTCCATTGAGCGTAATGACTAACAGTTGCCCATATAATAGAAGCGACTGCCCCACTGGCTAACTATTGTCTGTCTGTGCGCACACATACAAATTGGGCATTTGTGCACAACACTTAGGATAATAGATGTTGGGTAGAAGAGCTAGTCAGCCTGGATAAGATCACAAGAGGAATGATTCAGGAACACAAGAGCCAGAAACACTTTAAGCGGTAAGACGAAATCTGTTTAAAAGAGTGTTAGTGAGCTAGAAATTGACCTAAAAGGACATTTAGAGATATGTTAACAAGAAATAAAATTGGTTTAATGGATAATTGAATATAGTAATATTATAACTGAATATTGTATGATATTAAACATTTCAACTGAGATAAATTGGATGAAATTATACAAAAATGCATGCAATATAAGTCAAGCTGTTCCGGGGCATTTTGAATCATCTTGGGATGAACAAATTGATAACTTTATAAAAAAATAAAATATTTTAATAATCCTATCATTTTATATATATATATGTATATATATATATATGTATATAAAGCAAAATAAATAAACTCATTAAAACATTACAACTAAAAATGCAATAGCATCTGTGCAAAAAATGCAGCAAGATTTAGTATTTCAGTACAAACTAACTGAGATGCTACAGTATGTTATCTTAGGAACAGCATCATATTAAATAATATATTAAAAACATAAATTCACATAGTATGGTGACCAGTAAGTGCTTACCTTGCTGGACACCAGCTTGACGTTTCCTGAAGCCAGAGCTACAGCTGTGTCAGCCATCACTTCAGCCTTGATGGATCCCAAACCCCCAGTAGCACTAGTCTTTATGAAGCTATCCAACACCACATCAAGCAGGTCTGTGATCTATAAACATAAAAAATTGTGCATTCTGTAACTTGCTGACTGTCTATAGACATGGGCCCGGCTTTCTGACAAGATGCGCGTTAAATATCGCATACGATTTATCGTGCAGCCCTAGCCGAAATACTAAAGAAATATACAGGGGTGTTAGAGTTTGAAGGCATTTGTCATTGTAAAGCCTGTTTGAAACTTTTTGGATGGAATAAGCTCACAAAATCAAATTCCTTCAATAAAACTTAGGAGAAACTTTATAATTGTTTGAAAGGCTTACCTGACCCAAGCTGCCCCATATCTTCGCCTGTATGGAGGGGTACATCTGCTTCTCATTGATGGTCATAGTAATGAGTTTGTCCAGGATAGCCGTGACACGCTGCCGTTTGGCATCGTCATTGTGTTTACAAAAGCGCACCAAATTACGCAGCCAAGGAGTCATATACTCCAGACACAGATGCTTCAGCTCAATGCCTAAAGCACCCAAAAGGAAACACACAACATTTTTGTAACAAATGACACAAAAATGGTGCTTTGCAATGACTATCATTTAAAAAATAATTTTTGTTTCGGGATCAGTAAGATTTTTTACTGTTTTTGGAAGAAGTCTCTTAGGCTCACCAAGGCTGCATTTATTTGATCAAAAAAAAAGTAAAAACAGTGATATTGTGAACTATTACATTAACTTTATTTTAAAATATTTTTAAATGTAATTTATTCCTGTGATGGCAAAGCTGAATTTTCAGTAGCCATTACTCAAGTATTGAGTGTCACATGATCTTTCAGAAATCATTCTAATATTCTGATTTGCTGCTATAAACACATTTCTTATTAACGTTGTGCTGCTTAATATTTCTGTGGAAAACATGATACTTTTTTCCAAGATTCTTAGTTTTATAAGTCACTTTAAGTCAATTTTATGCATCCTTGTTGAATAAAAGTATCCATTTCTTCCAAAACAAGAAAAAAAATCTTACTAACACCAAACCTTCTAACAATATGTGCAAAACGATGAGTCTTTGTTTGTATGTGACACTGACTTGACTTGCTGAAGCCGGAGATGCACTCTTCCAGGAACTCCAGAGTGAGGTGGGGTTCGTTAGCTGCTAGCGTTTTGCTAATGGACACAATAAAAAGGGTGTTGTTGGCTGGGATGCACAAGCCAGATGTTTCCAGGAGTTGGCCTTCAATCTTCAGGTTGAAGGTGCAGGTTAAGGCACAAAGGAGATTGTACGCAGCTGACCTGTTGAAGGAGTTTTTAGTTAAGAGCAAGTCATTTTCAGAAGCAATCATTTACATTAATATGTTAGTTTCCATTTTTGTAGAAACTGAAGTGGTATTTCATTTTTACATAACAGGTTCTGTCTGGTTCTAACTGTGGGGCGGCAAGTTCAAGAGCCGCCTCAGTTGAACTAAAGACACAAAGGAGCAGTATTAGCATTTCTAATCAGTTCACCAGAACAAAGACAGAAGCCTGCAGATAAAAGGCTCATTGTCAGAACAACAACAGCGGGGCGCATTGGACCATTCCCCCAAAACGATCAAGTTGTTAGGCTGAAAAACAGCCTGAGCATGGCCTAAAACTCAATCCTCCAAGATGCCAGGCAAAGTGAACTGATTCTCACCTCAGACTGGGGTCAGAGCTTCCCAGGTTGAGGAGGGCAATGTTGAGCAGGGTGCCAGGAACATCTTTAGGCCTGATCTTTGTGTGCTGAGGAATGGAGTCTGGTTGAGAGAGCTCCCAGCGTGTGCGGATGTGGATGATGGACTGAACGATGGCTTCGCACTCCTGGTGCATGAACGTGAGAGGGGTGCCCTGGTTAGCGATGGTCAGTGTGAACTGGTTTTCGTCCACCAGGCATATCTCCTCGATCTCTGAAGCATAGTATATGTCGTTCAGGAAAACAGGCTGTCCCAGGACACGCGTTCGCTCGGCTGAGGTCACCTGAACAGCTGTTGATCCCACCTAGGTAGAATGGGCCAAAAAAAGTAGTGTAAAACTCTGGGATTTACACTCTGGGTTATAGTACCATATAAGTACATTTTTAAAAACACTAATAATTTAATTGACTGTTCAAATGCGGAGTTTTGTGCATCGTGTGTGTGTGCGTGCGTGCGTGCGTGCGTGCGCGTGTGTGAGCGAGAGAGTGGAGTCAGCTGTCTTAACCGTGGCTTGTGTACTGCAAACACATACCAGCTTCATCACTGTGTCTGTCACGCGACTCTGTTCCCCTTTCGGGCTCTGTCTTTACATTTATTTTGAAAGATGAAGCTCGCGATTATGGTAAGGGGCGTTACATTTCCGACGTGTGCTTGTGGTGTTCGGCCAATCACAATGCACTGGGTCAGCTGGCCAATCAGAGCAGACTGCGCTTGTCGGAAGGAGGGACTTTGTAGAAAACGAAGCGTTTGAGAGAGGCGGGGCATATAGGACCTACAATAATGTACAGTATTTGAAAAATAATGTGTTTTTTGAACATTAAAGCATGTCAACATATTCTGTTACACCAAATACACAAAATAATGATCTTTAAAAAAAGCATCATATGACCCCTTTAAATCTTCTGAAAATCTCAAAATGAATATCAATTTTTATATTGTACAATACAATACTGTGATGCTTGTGCGTGTGTCTATCGTGAACACAAATTAAGAATATGTTCCCATTAAGACATATTTCATTTATTATATAAATGTATTTAGAAAAGTATAGAACTTTAATATTAGCCATTTATCAGTTACCAGCCATAACATGAAAATTCTTATAGGCTTTAATATGGGTTAAGTTAAGAAACGTATTAACATAGCCAACATTGGTACCTAAAATAACCTCAAAATAACACTTGGATTGAGTTTCACAAATATCCATGAGCTCTTACCTTGATCGACACCTTTGTGTCCTTGTGCGCCAGTTTCAGGGCATTGTGGAACACTTTGAGGTCTTCTTCCAGTGCCAAGGTAGCTGCAGGCAGCTTCTGCTGCTCAGGCTCAATGTTTTCGGCTAGACGTGCAGGCGAGTCGATAAACAGCAGCTTCTTGCTCCCCTTGAGGCCGGTCAGTAGTCGCTCGTGGTATTTGGTGTACTCTCGTACCCAGGTGTTGCAGTTGTAGATGTACACGGCAGCCACATTCTCATAGGCAAAGTTTGGAAAGACCACAAACCACTTGGATAAGAAGTCCGTCTTAAAGCGGTTACTTGGGCCCACATGGGTGAGGTCTACTACGATCTCGTAGTGCTTGGCGTAGTATGGTTTGAGCGTCAGAAGGACGTGGTAGATCAGAAGATCCCCATTGATTTGTCCGGTTTTGAACCTAAAGAGAAAAAACAACAATATTTTGAATTTGAATGTGTTTTTGCTTCTAAAGGCAATGCACTGTACATCTTTGAGAAGTGTATTGTGTGAATAATGTCTAAAATTGTATATATGCCAAAAACAACAATGCATTATAGTAATTTCAAACAGTTCAAACATGAGCGGTCTGTACTCTGTACTAATTCCCTTAAATGGCAAACTTCTGACAGCTTACACAGAATGGAAGCTGTTTATCAAATATAGCCCTGTTTTCTACTGTTGTAACCACAGGTCAAGAGCATCTCAACTGAAGAACATCTAAATAACATCAACGAGCGTGAGAGACAGGAAGTGATTGTGCACTGTATCGCAATATATCAAGCCTCATTGCTTCAGGTCGTTCTTCTTCATCTACCAGCTCTCCCTCTCTGGATAAGTCCCTAGGAAATCTACTTTAGTAAGTACTTATTAGTTCACCAATTATCTGTAAAGCTAATGTGTAATTGAGAGTTTGGAAAACAGAAGGCAAGAAAACAAACTACTCATTATCTTTGTTAATGATTTTTATTATACAGTTAAAGTGGCTAAAGAGTTTTAAATCTTCATTTAACAAAAGATTTGGTGCTTTTTAAACTCCATATACACTCATTAAAATCATAGCGATTCATGTTAAATTATGTACACTACCGTTCAGAAGATTGGGTTTGGTAAGAATTTTTTATGTTTTTGAAAAAAGTCTCTTATGCTCACCAAAACTGCATTTATTTGATCAAAAATACAGGACAATAGGTATAGTAAAGCAGCTCAAATTAAATTATAATTTTTCATGTGAATTTTCAGTCACACGATCCTTCAGGAATCATTGCAATATGCTGATTTGATGCTCAAGAAACATTTCTTATCATCAATGTTGAAAACAGTTGTGCTGCTTAATATTTGTGGAAACATGATCCAATGTGATTCAGGATTCTTAAGTAGTAAGGCATTTATTTGAAATTGAAATAGAAATAGAAATGTCTTTACTGTCACTCACAACCAATTTAAGGCATCCTTGCTGAATAAAAGCATTAACTTATCTTACTGACCCCAAACTTTTGAATGGTAGTGTACATAAATAATGTTTTTTTCTCCATTAGCCAAGCTTTTACATTAAGTTTGAACAGACAAATTGATTGTTACTGGAAACTTATTGCATCATGCCTGGTTAAGACAGCGTAATGTGTACTGAAAAGCTAAATGAACTACTATAGAATATTCAAAAGAACATGACCTGTTGAATAATGGTACTTGTTTGTTACACAGATCTCAAAATACAGTGACAATGCAGACCACAAACGAGCTCATGTACAACACCACCACAGAAGAGTACGAGGTCCTCAACATTTCTTTTGCGACGACTAGTTTGCCTGCAACTGGTGCCGCTGAGATCAGTTGTTTTATCGATGCCCAGCTAGCGTTTATAGCAACAGCAACTGCTGGGGGCATCATCCTGATCCTTCTAACCTCCACCATAATGTTGGCATGTACCGTCTCAAGCCTGAAACGTCATCACCGGGCCCCTCGTCCATCCCGAAGCAATGCAGACCTGGTGAGTGGAACGGACTACTGGGGTACCGAGAGAAGAGAGGGCGGCATTGTGGGTCCATGCGAAACCAGTGTTCTACTGGAGGAGGTAAAGACAGACGGCGAGGAGGAAGAGATCCATGATGGCGCGGCAGGGCCGAGCCAATACATCACCACTTCTAACGCAGCCGGTGATTCAGAGAACATCCCAACAGCCATGCAGAGCTCAACCTCCAGGGATTCCTGCATAGATCCCATAAGTTTGGAGAATATGCCTCTGATGGTGTAAAGTATAAGAGCTTTTTTTGTATGCTGGGCTCTGATGTCAGGCATGTTACTTCTCTTTTTGCCTTTTTTTAAAATGTCTTCAACATCTACTGCAGTAAAAAAGTAAGCTAACAAAGGTGCCCAGTTACAAGCGGCCTTACAGGGTTTTTCAGAATTGTTTAACTAACTACAATTTCTGCTCATCCTGTTAAAAGGAAATTTCTTGTAATATCAGATGAATTTGATGGGTCAAATAGTCAGTAAATAGAAAACTTTGACCTTTTCACAGATGAGGTCAATGCAGTTTTCTCATCTCAATCAGCTCTGGAGATCTGTTTAGTGAGGATGACAAGGACAATAAGTAAATGAAATGTCTGTGTATGATTGTATAGTTTGTGAAATTGGTATTTAACAAAAGCATTGTCTCACATTTTGGCAATTTTTTAATATGGCAAGCAGCAGCACATACCCAGAAATCGAAGAGCACATTCACTCGCTGTAGATGGAAGCGAAATAGATGAACGCTATCCTCTGTACATAAATAGCACACCACAACTAAACTGGTGTTGTAATTTCTACTGTAATTTCCACTACAGTCACCAAACTGCATTGCAAAAATAATGAACGCCCATCTGCCATTAGCCGGTCAAACAGTGTAGATGAAACAACCTATGAATGGCTTATTTATATTTGACTCCAAATATTAAGCAGGGACAAAAGAAATCACACACTTCAGCTTTAAATGGGTAAAGCAATACCACACAGCCTTAAAAATCTTGTAACAATGAGCAAGTTTTCTATATCAAAACACTGACATCTCAATATAAAATAAAATGAAATGCTAATGACAAAAATGCTTGTTCTGTTCATCATTTACAATCAGATTTTGATATTTCAAGAGTGTTGCAATGCTACTGTTAACGTAGTTGCCAGATTTTGAAGATGTTATTGGTGGTTGAAAAGTGGGTGTTCAGTGAAAGGAACTTTCCAAGATGACAAAAAAAGAGACATGAGATCATTTCCCTTTAGATGGCTTCTGCTCTGCAAAGAATTCTTATTCTTATAGATAAATTTGAAGAAAATTAATAACAGTTCTTTTCAAAAAATTAACATCAATCATTTAAAACATACCTTAAAAACGAGCCCCAAATCCTAGAACAGAGTTAAGAAAAAAAAGTGCTTCTGTTTTTCATACTCTGTTACCAAAGATTCCTTCAACTGCTATAGCAAAAAAACGAATGCAGCCATTTCACAGCTTCATTTCCTGTCAAGTGAAGTTACGGTTCCGTATTCATCTCAATATACTTCAGTCTTGAACAAATGCTTCAGAGGATGCCTGGGTAAGTAAATCTTCTGCTGTTTTGTCTAGCATAAACCAACAATTGTTACTTGATACTGGACAGCAAAACATTTAAGTGTATATGTTTTTAACATTTAAAGTAACTACATGGCACTACAAAAAAACAAAAACAAAAAAAGAGTAGAAACCAGTGTGTTGGAAGTTGTCCAATAGTGACTGTAAAATAAATGAAAAACCTACTTTTTTTTTCATTGTTAGTCTGCGTCGCCAAGTATTCACTTACAGATTGTGTGCACCATTTGTGTACACAAACATTAGGTGTTGCCTTTTGAAAAAGATAAACGTAAAAGTTTTAATCTGAGCATGCTACATATGGCCTATAAGAATTTTAGGGAGAAAAAACGGTCTGTTGAGTCTTATGTTACAAAAATGTTTTTTTTTTTTTTTTTGGCAAGGTTCTCTAAGGACACCATGAGGACTACTCTTTGCACACTTGTCTTCCTCTTCTCTCTACCATGGAGTCTAAATGGCCATTTAACGACCAGCAATAAGAATAATGTGGTAACAAACACAGCAGAAAATGCATCATGGCAGAGAGACTACACTACTGATTCTGGAACAGAAAACGTGGTTTCACTTTCAAGAAATGTTCAGATGCCACAACTTATGAGTCACTCTGAGCAGCAAGAGACCGGGCTGAGGACAGCCAATGGTGAAGATGAGGCATCAAGGACAAGGAGGAATGTACATTATGACAAACACAACTTAACTACTATGTCGACACACCCTGAAATGCAAAAGCAGGACGAGGTAATTCAACAAAAGGAACTACAAAAACCAACAGAAAGTTCCCGCAGACCACATACTACATCTCTTTTGCAGACAGAGAATGCTACAGAATTTAATGTCTTTGCTAAACCACCCAATGCCACAAGGGCAGATGTTTCGCCAGAGGAAAAGACAAGCAGTGCACTTTCTGAGACACAGAAAGCCACTCAGGAAACACCTTCTACTTCTGATTTCACTGGGCTCTATGTTACGCAAGCAAATGAAACAGTCATGGATAGCAACGAAACCAACACAAATAAAGATCTTCCAACAGCCCAGCCCACAATGGAGACTTCAGACCAACCAAGCCCAATGACTCATGCCCACACTTCTGCAACAGCAAATGTGACAGATTTCAAAGGGACTCGAAGCAACAATGGTGTGGAAACCAAAGAGGGGAAAGAAGTCACAGACAAGTGGACAAGCACTCAAGGCCCTGAGCTTGAGACTTCATCTATGACTAAGCCAAAGAAGATGTTGACGACCATGAGAAAGACCACCAAAAAGCTAAGACCACCTTCATCAAAAGACAAGCAGCAAGCAAACCCAGGTCCTGCTGTGGCGGCTGTGATTGGCACCACGTTTGTCTTGATGTTCATAGCGATAATCTTTATCTTGGTAAGGAAACGCAAAATGCAAAGAAAGCAGCTAGAAAATCCTGAGTGGGCCGGACCCTCACCGTTTCTGGATGGTGACGTTCAACCGAACCTGCCAAATACGGAGGAATCCGAGGCCATCAATAGACAAGGCTTCAACCAGATGTCCATTTCCAGATACCTCTCCCAACAGCTCTCAAAACACCTGACATTCGGGAGGAACACAAGTGAGGAAGTTCTCATGGGGGACATCCTGCAAGGAAGCACGTTTGGCAGACAAAACCCAGATGAGGTCCAAGCCCCCAATGGGAACCCGACTGCTGCTCAAGACTCAACTGAGAAAGAAGAACACACAATCCAGGAAGGTCAAGAATCTGTGGACTCTTCTGACACCAAAACACCTAGGTCAGGAAGTGAACAAGAAACTGTGATGGAGAGCAAAGAATCAAAGCAGACTGATGACCT